ATGGACTCAATACACACATCACAACAAATACAATATATATAACTCATCTCCTTATTGTCAATCCATAATAATGGGCTTATTGATCTCATCTCAACATAATATATCTCATCACATCTCAAAAATTCACGCTCATCACATTCATCATAACATACATCATCACATCAATTCAATAATATCCCAATACACAATTAATCCTACACATGACTCACCATAACATCTCATGCTTGTAAGAAATGTACAAAATTCATATTGTTCTATAAACAAGGATTTTCATATGCATGATCACAACATCCAATGTACAATCAATTGTACATACAACTCACTCATAGCATTTCATACTATAAGAAATATACAAAATCTATTTTACTCTATCAACAAAGGTGATAAGTGTCTAATTAATTTGATTAAATATGAATTTGAGACACTTATCTAACACAATTTTGTACATATTGATATAATTTTGGTTTATATATACTCAGAATCAAAGAGGGACTTTTGATTTATGTTAGTACAGGGAGCGATGAATCTTTTGATCAAATTTTTTGTTTATTTTGTAGGTTTTGAAAATTGGAGGACAATGGCTCAGCCCCTCAAAAGGGCTGAGCGCTTTCAAGCCAGAGAGCCATTCAAAAGTGCACCAAACTGGAGGCGCTCAGCCACTCCAATCTGCTGAGCAGATCTGGCCCTAGAAGAAGGAGTGGTCTCTGCCTCCTAGGCGCTTAGCGGATCTGAAACGCCCAGCCCCTTGTGCTTGCTTAATAGTGAAGAATCTCCAAGGCGCTGAGCGGATCTCAGGGGCTCAACCCTTCAGGTTACTTCATGGTGAATAATTCTTCAAACTGCTCAGTCGTTTCAAGGCGCTGAGCGGATTCTTCTCTTTCCTGCTTACTCTGTTTTAATTCCATCACTTATAAAAGGGCAGAAGAGAGAGAAAGTGAGTATCAACTGTATGTACGAAAAGGAGAACAGAGAGAAGAGAGAAAACAAAGTACTTTGGAGCTCGTGGGGACGCGATTCTTCAAAGGATCTCTTTCTTTTACCTTTCATCTTGTTGTTTTGTGATTTCTTGTACCATGGAGAGCTAAACTCTAGGGTTGGGATTGATGTAATCGTCGAACTCCTTTGTATTCCTCTTTGATTCATATATATATCTCATTTATTACTTTATGTCAGTGAATTGTTTTTGTTCTTAATGTTTTGTTGAACTGATCATTTATCTCTGATTTTGGATTTAGAATTTGGTTGAAAAACATTTTCTGAATCTAGACTTGGAACAAATCACCTATTAGTTTCAAGGGTCAGGAATGAATTTGGGATTAATAGTTGTAAGAAGTTCTGACTCTTAATGCTGGATATTTAACTGAATGAAGTGAGGAATCATTCATTGAGTTAAATATCTTAGAATTTCTTATGCCAAGGAATTGGGTCTGAATGAATTTAGAGAACTCAATGGCCATGAGTAATGAAATCATTTGAAAGAATCAACAGGAATGCATAGGGGGGAGATTGATGAAATCTAATCCCAACTGTTTCTCATATCTGTTTTCCTTAAAATTAATTTATCCTTTGGTTACTTAAGTTTGATCAATCATTCACATCAAATTTGAACATGTGTAATTACTTAAGTTTTATATTCACAAGTATTAATTAGTATAATAGAAATCAAAGCTTACTTCACAAGTCCTTGAGGATTGACAACCTTTTAATTATACTACAGAGACTTGGGTGCGCTTGCTCAGAAAACCAACAAAAGGTTTTCATAGAAATCACAAACATTGGTAGATTCTTAATCATAACACTAAATACACAATTAATCATGTGACTCACTCATAACATTTCATGCTCATAAAAATCATACAAAATTCATATTGTTCTATAAACAAGGGTTTTCACATAATTCATAAACACTCATAGATTCAAGATCACAACACCCAATGCACTATCAATAGTATATACAACTCACTCATAACATATCAGATTCATAAGAAATGTACAAAATTCATATTACTTTATAAACAAAGATTTTCACATAATTCACAATTTTTAAATAGATTGATCAGAACATCATACCAAATTCATAAACAAAGTATTCTTCCTATAGCTCTAGCTGCTAATCCATGACTCCTTTGATGATCTCCTCTTCATTTTCTCCTATGAGCGTTTTAGTAACCTAATCACTTCCTTTTTACTCCTTATATTTTTTTCACAAATATTTGTATTAGTTATAATTTTTCAATCTCTTTCATCATTTAATTAATTTATTTTCCTTACTATTTACTAAACTAATAAAAATGATGGATGATTAAAGGTATTATTGTGAAAAAATAACTAAAATAGGTGACATTCTAGATTAGTTCTTAATATTATAAAACAAGAGAGAAAATATCCTAATACAATTCATAGTAATCGACAATGATAATAACTTAATAATGATGATAATGATAAAAATAATAATAGTGATTTATGATAGCATCTATACAAATGATGATAGTAATATCATCTAAAGAGCTTAGTACATTTTTTTATTAATTGACTATAATAGTAATTATAGTAATTCTAATAATGATAATAGTAATAATAATAATTTATGATAACTTTGATATAAATGATGATAGTAACATCAACTATCGAGCTAGAAAAAAAAACTAAAAGAAAAAAAATATAATTATTAATAAAAAATAGTTCCAAGATCTTTTATTTATTTTTTTATTGAACATCTTGTTCTTAGTAAGAAAAGTTGCTCGTGTTCTCCTGGGTAATAAAAAAAATTTTCTTTTGTCCAATTCATCTTCTCTTATTTTTTTTTTTTTGCATTTTTTAGTCAAACATAAAACAATTTATGATATTTAGTAGGACTGTTCAAATAGCTGAACTAAACTAAACTATAATTGTAGTTTGATTAAATTGAATTGGACTAAAAAACAGTTCCAACAAAATTCAACTAAACTATTTTATATTTTAGTGAACTATAGTTCTTAAGTTTGAACTATACTATAATTTATACTAAACTAACTTATTATTATCATTATTATTATTATTATTATTATTATTATTATTATTATTATTATTATTATTATAAACTGAATTCAAATACATTCTAAAAAAAATGTCTTTTCAATTTTAAATTTATAATTTCTTTACGGTCAAACTTATGCTAAAAATAAATAAATTTATCATAATCCATGATTATTATTCTATTTTTTAGTAATTTGATTTTGATGAGTTTATAAACTATTTTCATGTTATAGAACAAAGACTATGAACGAAAATAAAGTATCTTAATAAAGGCTCTAATTTTCAATGAGTTTACTGATCATATTAATTATTAAATAAAAAGTTTAAAAATAATATCTAAATATTACATGTAACTATTTTTTTAGTTAATGCGTTCTTTACAAAATAATATGACTTTTAAAGAATATTATAAAAATGTATACCGTTACTTTTATAATGTTGAAAACTCAATCTTTAAACTCAACTAATAAATATTATAATTTTTTTTATTAAAATAATAATATTTTTTAGCATCAAAAATAAAATTATTTGGATAATAAAGAGATAAGTTTGTACACACATATATAATACATTTTTTAATTTTTATAATAATTATATTAAAAATATAAAAAGAGTAATAATTACCAAAGGTATATACATTTTTATTCAATTAATAAATGAAAATTAATTTTTTTCTTTTAATCTTTTAAATTAAATAACCATAGAAAAATTCTATAACCAAAACAAAAATGTGTAATTGTGCACACTAACACTTAGAGCTGTCAAAGTGGGCCGGGACCCGTGGGCCAACCCGGCCCACCTTGAAAACGGGCCGGGCCGGGCCAAAAAAAATTAAAGTTTTATAGTAGGTGGGTATATTTCAACCCGGCCCACCCGGGCTAAACCCGTGGTGGGCCGGGTGGCCCACCCACCCACCATTTTTTTTTCAATAAAAATTTGAATATGATTTGTAGTTTATTTTGTATGATGATATATTGAAAATTTTTATTTTAAACTTTTATCATGATTTGTATTTAATTTTGTATGATGAATTATGACTTATAACTATTAATGATGTTAATTTTATGACTATTATGTTAATTTATAATTAATTTAAAATTTTGAATTTTGTTAATAATTTTTTTTAATTTTTGGTGGGCTGGTGGGCTGGCCCGTATAACCCACCAACCCGTGGTGGGCCGGGCCGGGCCAAATTTTTTTTGAAAAAATTACAAGTGGGCCGGGTTGGGTTGGCTCGTTTTTAAAGTGGGTCAAGGTGGGCCGGCCCACATGGGCCGGGTTGGCCCGTTTTGACAGCTCTACTAACACTAAGCCACTAGTACTCAACAATGGGCAATAAGCGAAATTGAAAAGTTATGAAAAAGACATTTATAATGAAAAATCAGTTTTATTAACAATTTGGTCTAACCAACTACTCTTTAAAAAATAGTTTTAGATTTATAAAACTGAATATAAAATTCATTTTAGTTCAATATTTTATAAAAATAATTTAGTTTTTTATAGTTTAATCTAATTTAGCTATTTATTAATTTAGTTCTAATTAATTATTTAAAATATTTTCTAATTATAACTTTTTTTTTATAATTACAGTGCACTAAACTACTTTTTATAATAGTTTAGTTTTTAAAACTAAACTTAAAATATAGTTTAATTTAGTTTTTATAAAAACTAGTTTAATTTTTTATAATTTAGTTTAATTTTTACAATAATTTAGTTTAATATAATTTTTTTAACATCCCTAATATTTAGTACCATGGATTTTTTAGTAAATCAAACGGATGTAAAAGCTAAGACCTCAGCGATGACTTGAGGGGTTGAGGTAAAAGAACTTCCCAAATATAAGAATAAAACAATGGTTATGGCTTAAAATAAAGGTACTTTGTTACGGTGCCAACTTATAATTTTGTTGTGAATAGTGAAAAACTAATTGTGAATTTCATCTTGTATCTTGCTCTACATAGTGCTGATAAGACTTGGGACATTGGAAATATGAAAACCACTTTTCAAACTTGGGTTATGACCAAAAATGAATCCCTAGTTTATTGAATAGCATGATGTAATATTACCATTCTCGAATTTATTCTTTAGCAGAAATAGCTCGAATTTTATTTCTTTTAGTATAGAGTTACAAGTACGACTGCGAAATTTAACATTCCCCCACTACCACCAGTGACTCAAAAAGACCAAAAACAGAAGGTTTGATCTTCAGCTGGGAACCTAAAACTGCAAGAATTATCGCGGGGTTCATCATAGCAGACATCTTCAACCTTAGGTAAGAATGGCATGGTCAAGATGTTTTGGCTCAGAATGTCTTCCTCATCTTGGGAGGAATCTGCAGGCTCCACGAATGAGGATTGGTTTCCATCAGTGAAATGTGGACTATCCGAATCAAGCACATCACTCTTAGCTGAATTAGCATCTTCCTGTTTGCTTATTGCCATAACAGGAAGTGTCACTTTGGATCCATTTTCAGAACCTGTGTTCACTATTAAATTCATCTCCTCTTTATGCTGTGAGTTGACAGCATCACAGCAGGTATCATCCAAATTCTGTTCCTCTTTCTCTCCGGGAATCAATCTGCTCTTGAGAGAATTCACCTGTAACAAGGAAATTGTATCCAATCATCATCAACCCTTTCAGATAAAATTACAAAAAAGTACACCAAATTGGTCTCTGAAATTACTAGCATTAGTCAATTTAATCTTTAAACGTACCAAACTTCAGTTATCTTGGTCTTTATTTTTGTAATTTCAAGGAATAAAATGTGAATTTGATAATTTCAAAAACTAAATTGATGAGTACTCGTAATTTTGTTCGCCAATTTGTTGTGTTGCTCTAAAATTACAATTTAATAATGAACATAGCACAAAGCAATAAAAGATGTCTCAATGCTCAAATGATGCATCTACAACACGTCTAATGTCAAGAACAAACTAAATTAAAATCTTAAGATGATATGCTAATAATTTGTCCGTTTATATACAAGTTAGAAACATTTTTTTAGAGTTTTTTATTTTTATTTTTATTCAAATAATGTGTATTTATTAGTAGAGAAAATTTTAAAACACTTCTAAACTTGTATGACTGATATGTCTAACAAATTGTTACCTCTTCCTTTAACTTGTCATTCTCTTGAAGGAGATTGTCGTAGTCCCTTTTAAGCATGTCATAGCTAGCTTTCAACGTGCCATAGTCTTTTTCTATCTGTTTGGTTTTGAACCTAGCCCTACGGTTTTGGAACCATATGGCCACTTGCCTTGGCTGCATGCCAAGCTCCTTTGCAAGTTGGACCTTCCTTTCGGGTTCAAGCTTGTTTTCTGCCTCGAAGTTGCTTTCAAGGAACTGAACTTGTTCGCTTGTGAGCCTCCTTTTCTTTCCGGGTTGATGGAAGCACGCATCAAAATCCTCATCATCACCGTTCTCTTCTTTCTCAAGCCCTCGGAAGAAGGGCCAATCCATGACATTCACAACATTAGCCATGGGTTTTGAACCTGAATTCAAGGCACCAAAAAATTAATTAAGTATGCTAGAATTCATTCAAACACAAACTATTTTCAAGGAAATTAAAATCTATAAGAACCCGCTTCTGATTTTGTTATAATAACACTTTTTTTCCTTTTCTCTTTCACAGTCCTAGAAAATTTCAAGTTGTTGAAAGAAGTTTTAAAGTAGAAAAGAAATCAGCAACTTGAAGAAAATTTTGAAAGCAGAAGGTCAGGACAAGAATCAAGAAGCCAAAAACATGATAGTAGCAAATCACCATGAAAAGAAGGTTCAGAGTTTTGATTTTGAACCCAAAATGACTGAATCATCTCAGAGGAGCATGAAAGCCTTTCTTTTTGGAGTTTCAGTGTCATGCTTGAACCCCCATGAAACTTCTCACCTGCCATCATAGCCTTAGTGGTATATATGGTATTAGACTATTACGTGTAGAGTGTTGTGTGAGAATTAAAACTAAGGGTTATATTCGTATCATACCCTTGAGAAGGGGCAGGGAGATGAGACTATTTGGTTTGATCAAAATTAATGGTGAAAGGAGCAGGTGGTGGGCAATAATGTGATATGGGGATTGTGAGAGTGATCATCATAATATCCATCGATCACAGAGGAATTAAGACTATGTCAGATATGAATAAATTGCAGGACCAAGATGGTGCATTCTTCTATGTTTGGAAAGAGAAAGAGAGCATGGTCAGAGGGAGTAAGTGTTTTATTTCTTCCTTCAGATGGGAGAGATGTTGATGAGAGTTTGGAAATTCCGCTTTTAAGTTGAGAAGTGATATAAAGGGAGATTCCTGTTGACGATGATGGGGAAATTTAATGGGGGTTTATATGGAGAGTCTTGGAATGGTGAAGCGACAGGGGAAATAAATATTCACAGACAAGGGTCCTCCAAGCATATACAAGCTTATCGTTTACGATCTTTTTTTTTTTTTAATATTTTATTTATTTATTTCATTTTCTTCAAAATCAGTCCTGTACTTGTTGAGGTTACACCCAAATTTCTAGGCTACTGATCAAGCTTCCTCTTCCGTGTGTTATCTCCACGGTTGGGGTGATAGCACTACTTCGACGTTTAAATTAGGTTAAAAAAATTAGAGCAATAAATACATATTAAATGAGTGAAAAAAATAACAATAAACAATATCTACTACTTGACTTATTCCCTATTTATACTAATTTTAGTGAATTCTTGGACTTCGTACATGATTATCATTTCGGTAATGTGTTTGTTAATAAAATTCATGGTATTTTACCTTAATTTAAGTATCATGATAATCTTATCTTATTTCTCTTAATTATACCAGCGAGGTAACCACTTATTTATGTAGTTGAACAATCTTCTATCTATGAAATGGTTGAATTGTGTTTGACCTATCGAGGAGTTGCCATCTTTACCCCTCTACTAAAAGGGTTTCGAGTATTTGACCATGATAGGGTCAATGAGGACATATGCTTGTTCAAGGAGTTTGAGATGAACTCATTTGACTTTTTTGGTGGTTGAAATGTGTTTGGCCTATGTGGGAGTTGAAGAGGGTGTATCATAAGGATAAACCTAACATAAGTCCTATGAAATGAGGTAAAGATTAATCTTGGTTTTTATAAAAGAATTTAAATTAAATTATACTTTTGATCTTTTATTTTAATTTTAAGATTCATTTAAATATTTTATTTTTTAAAATATTCATTTTAGTCATTTATTTATTTAATTTAGGTTGAACTTGCCTTTTTGAAACCATTTTTGTTTCGAATTTTGAGACAAAATTTCTGTTGACTTATTCAAGAGTTGAAACTTGTCACCACTTATATGAAAATTGTTTAATGCATCTGAAGTTCAAAAAAAAAAAGTGTCACGATGAAAATCAAATAAAAATACATTCAAAAAGTAATCAAAAAATTCAAACAATTTCACTTCATATTATTTTTATAGTTTCTTGTGATTGGGATATATGTAACATTATACATTCTTGTCAATTATTGTATTTTATCAATAATTATGAATTGTGTTAATTATGTGATGTGTGTTGTTATTGGAGTAGTTGTTGAGGGGCTTTGGGAGTTAAGAAACTCTTAAAGAGTTTTGGGTGTTTAGAGGGTTTCTCTCAACAGAGATCCAATTTGATCATGAGGAGAAGAGTATATAAGATTTCTTTTATAAGCTTTCTTTTAAGAATTGAACTTCATAAGCTCATTCTTAAGAAATCCTAGAGACATAAGGTAGAGAGAAGTTCTTTGGAGTCAAAAATTCCTTTTTCTTCCTTTGACCTTGTGAGTGAGTGATCATTTCCTCAAGGAGTTGCTTTGTTTTTGTTGATGATTTAGGTTTGTAGAGTCAGGAATTAGAGCTCTTTGAGTTGTGTTGAGTTCTTCGTAGGAACTCGATCCCATTCTTCCTTCTCCTTCCTATCTTTTTGCTTGGAGTTGATGTAAGGGAAGCTAGAATTGAATCTTTGTTGGTTGTTGATGTTGTGTGTTGGATTGCATCTAAATTCGTGGGGTATATATGTTGATGAATTTGGAGTGAAAAATATGTTTTAGTGAGACTTTGGGTCGGTGAAGCATGTGAGGTTGATTTTGGATGATTTGAGTCATTTCGTGGTTGCATGTTGTTCTTTTGGTGAGAATTGAGTTAAATATGATTTCTAGATGCATTTTATTGTATTGCATGTATTACATGCATGGACTTCTTGATTTTTAGGTGTAAGGAGAGCATTTTGTGAGTTTGATAGTGAAGAACTCACTATCGTGTCAGGAGCGCCTTCTAGGCATGGCTTCAAGCAGGGGGCACCTCTATCTTGCTTACATCAGGTCTAGGATTGGTGACATTTAGCATGAGGAGAGAGAATCGTCTCAGGTTGAAATCATGTTAGGAGGGGTTTGAATAACGTTGAACGTGAGGTGAGAGAATTGTCTCGGGTTGGATTAGCATTGAGCACCAAAGAAGTCGAGATAATCTCTTAAGTTGGTTTGAGGTCAAGTGTAGGACTTTGCCACGCCAAGTGTGAGGGGCCAGGGGACCTCTACCTAATCCACGTCAAGTGCAGGTTATGTGGTGCCAAACAGGGCAAATAGAGGGTTTCATGCCTAAATGGTGCCGAGCGCTAAGTTTGTAGCATCGAGCATGGATTTCTTTATAAATAATTGTCATTTATATGATTAAATAGTAATCATGGATAGGTTAGCCAAATCTATTGCATATTGTATGTTGATTAGTAATTTTATTTTATGTATATTGATCTAGGATGATATATGTAGATGATTGTATGGTTGAATTGTTGAGATGCATTGGTATGCTATAAATTAATAAAGTTGTTAGATATATATCCATTAACTTTTGGTAATGCATATAGATGAATGTTGTTGATGTGTGGTGCCAAAAATGCTTTAAGGCATTTAGGCATGATTTGTTAACCTGTTGAGGTGTTATTGTTGAGAATGCTAAAAGCATTAAAACATAATGATTGACTTAAGACTAGAAAAGAGGGTGTTTTTGAAAGTTAGATATACTATAGTGTAAATATTGAATAATTTATTATAAATTTTAGTTATACATAATATTCAAACATGATATTCATATATAATTTATTATAAATTTTAGTTATACATAATAAATATTTAGCCTATGCATTACAATATAATTTATTTATCATAACTTTAAAATATAATTTATATGATTAAAAATATCTATTCATAAAATTTTTAAATATAATTTATATATTTAAACATGGTATTTATTTGTATATATAATTTATTATAAATTTTAGTTATACATAATAAACATTTAGCTTATACAATAGACAAACTAAAATATTAGTTTATTATTAAATATTATAAAATTATTATTATCAAATAAATATAATTTTTATTCTTAAAAATATATTGTAGCGACTCGTCTTGATCCTTACATTAAACAACACAACTACAAGCAACGAAAATAATTAACTTATAATCATATACTCATAAATATTAGATTATGTACTATATCAATATCACAAAGATATAAAGATGACACAACTAAATAAATATGTGTAATATACATGCAATAATCCAATAAATGTAAATATACAACTAGGTTAGTGGTTAAGCAATTGCAACTATTTATACAAATCTACCATTTTTAAATAGTCATCAAAAGACATCTAGCTCCAGCACCACTATATGGCCTCTACTACAACACTTTAGACTTATCATTGCCTTGCTCTCATATCACATATGATTATCGCAATCCAAACCACATGAAAACATGTAAGAGTAAACTAAAGTAAAAAAGAAACAAAGTATATACAACATAGGAATATCACACCATCATCATCTTATCTCCAATAACACAACACAAGGCATCACATTACATAATGCATACCAACACAACAACTTAGCTTACGATAACATTCTCAACACATGTTAATCATCACACGCAGTAATATCAACACAACAACACATGCATCATCACACATTTGAACTAGGAGATCTCCTACAATAGAGGGTGAGTAATTTAAGTGGCTTGACCCTACCAAACTGACAACACATAGCGTGATCTTTTTGGACTTTCTATATCAACAACAATTTAGATAAAAATCTACAATACAACAACTCAATTTCTCATATGTCACCACTTAAATAAGAAAGTTTAGTACTACTATTAAGGTCTAATAGCTAGATATGGGCCTATCATGATATTAACTAGCTTAACCAAGTCTCTTATAAGATTAGCCCATCGACTACCTTTCAAATACTAAACTCTTTTGATACTCAATTAGGAACTAAGTTTTTGACTTTATACTTTACTTGGTTGATCACTTATAATCAATATAGCTCGACCTGACCCCTATACTTTGGTTGCTTCATACACATGTACCTTGATTTTTCCCACACACAATACCAACAAAGCTTTAAAGGAGAAACAACATAGTTATCCACTTCAAGGATCAACTTCCCAAGAAGGATTTTCAACAAATTGGATTCTTAGAGCACCACAGTACAATATCCACACAATGAGATATGCAACTTTCAAAAACCTCTCATCTAGTCCTAAGTGGTCAACATAGCTCAACAACACGACAACTCTTTGTATATTCAACACAACAACGAAATTAACAATCTATCTATTATAAATTTTAGTTATACATAATAAATATTTAGCTTATGTAATACACAAACTAAAATACCAATTTATTATTAAATATTATAAAATTATTATCAAATAAATGTAGTTTTTATTTTTAAAAGTATAATTGTAATAATTTGTTTTGATCTCTATACTAAATGACACAATTACAAGTAGCAAAAAGTAACTAACTTATAATCATATATTCACATATATTTGATTATGTACTAAATCAATATCATAAAGATATAAAGATGACACAACTAAATAAATATGTGCAATATACATATAATAATCCAATAAATGTAAATATACAACTAGGTTGTTGGTTAAGCTATTACAACAAGTATTCGATACTTCATCAATTAATTATAACATCATATTTTTCTTCAATAACTAGCATCCAATGCTACTCACCCTTACGTCCAATGCCATCCAGGCAGAGAACTCTCTGCCTCACCAACGCTTGACACTACATAACTTACACTCGACGTGGCTAAGGTAGAGGTCTATAGGACCTCACGCCTGACGTAGTAAGCCACTATAGTCGGTCTCATCTCAAGCATAGAGTCTCTACCTAATTCTTGCCTGGTGTCACTACATTGATGCTCGACGAAATCCAAACATAGAACTTTGGCTTGGCCACGCTAGGTGTGAGACCCGTGGCCGGTATATACACACTTCCCCTCCCAACTCTCACTATTCTCTCTTCCCCTCTCAAGGCTCTCACTTTTCCTTTTCTTCCTCTTGC